TAAATTTGGCAATAGCTGATGTGGCTTGGTTCATTTTTGCTAAACGCGGTCCATTTGTGGCCGGATGCAACAATTTTTGTCGCGTGGCGTCACGCCACCATCAAAGGTGGGTATCCCGCTTCCAAGAGCAGGACCAAGCGCCTTCAATTGAAGAAAATACTCAACGTCTATCGGATGTGTAGAGGTTTTTTGTCGAGGCGTGTTGAGTGAAGGGGATTGTAAATGCGAATGTTTTGGCGATTAAAGTAAGCACGATTCACTATTCTCACGGCTCATCTTAATGTAACCCAAAATTCTGTTTGGAAATAACGCAAGCACAAATATTTTACCATTGCGCACATCTCTTCAAAGGCGAATTATTTCGAAAATGACAATTTTGGCCCCTCTTTGAACCAAACTTGGCTTAAAGCCGCCTCGAATGGTTCTCAGCAGAAACATCTTGAAAATCCTGAATATAGTTAAAAGTACATCTCCATTATATGGGATTTATGAAATATGATTATTTAAATGTACTGCGTTCTGTTTCAAGCACATGAAGCACATTTCATTCTTTTCAAAATTTCCCTAAAATGTCTTTAAAAATGTAGTAAAATTTTAACAAGTTTTTTTTTTTTATATGAAAAAAAGTACCTCGCATTTTGATAGTGCTGAAACCCTACAGTTCATAATTTAAGAATCGTATGACACTTAAACTTTACCTTCCGCAAATTTTACTTTGAAAAATTCCCAGGAAGAGTTTATGATAATTACCATTTTAACAGTTATTCAACCCTCTATGACATGGATTAATTTTGGATTATACGTTTTGGGAGAAACAAATGTATATCGTAGCTTTCGTAAAAACACACGAGTCCCGACCTTTTCTCTGTCAGAATTGCAAAATTTTGAAAATCATTCTTATCAAAAAGAAAACACTGATTTTGCAACATCATGCCCTCAGAGGAACAACCTAATTTTTAAAAATGCAAACAATTGCGTTGTTACGAATAAGTATCACATGCCAGAGTGCCATGAGTCGTATTTTTAAAATTTTACTGAAAAAAAGATCGGTCTATGCACCAAAGTTTGGTGTTCCATATCATCCCAACTAATTCGGATCATCAAATTGAAATTATCGGTTGGTCAAATCAATTTTTCGATTTGTCCAACCGAACTCTGCGGTAAAGTTAACTAACGAACTAAGTTTGGTCATGTATACCGAACGTTCGGTTACACCAACGAGAATTCGAGAGATTCGAAATATAGAGAGGCAAATGGACGGATTTACGCCAAAAGGAACCAAAAATATCAGTTTAATTTTTTACGGAAGTAAAAATTACCCCAAGTTACTATTAATTATTTATATTTAATTTTAAAATTATTAATTATTATTAATTACTCTCACAGTCACTCCAGTCACTAAGATACTTTCAGACACCCAGGTACATAAACAGTTGACTTCGAATTGTAGAGGGAATGTATCGTCTTATTTCGAATTATAGAGGGAGGACCAAATTTACTTCCCACACTTCGAATTACAGAGAGAATTTTCGTCGCAACTTTGAATTTTAGAGGGCCGTGCCAGCTTAAAAATTTCGAAATAATGAGGGGAGAAAAATACATTGATTTTCTTCGAATTATCGAGAGATTTTCAAGGGAAACAGACTTTCCTTCGAATTAACGAGGTTTTCGAATAATCGAGGTTCGAATATCGAGAGTTTACTGTATTTGGGATGATATGGAACACCGAACGTTCGGGTAACATGACCGAATTTTTTTGCGGTGTACAAGTTTTTTAAAAGTTACTTTAACAGTTATCGCTATCAGGATTAAAAAGAAACGAAACTTCAGATCTCTTTTCCTCGTTTAAACTTGACGCGACTCGGCGTGTATTCTATTAAACCGGTTCATTTGCCTCCAAGAGCGGCAACCGCGGACAGGTACGTGATGGGACGTTTGTCACCGTTCACCCAATAGTCCGGTATCGGCATGGCACCAAGTGGCGCTGGGTGCATTCTCTCCTGGGAGGTATGTGACGGCATGCTCAGGCCCGGGCACTGTGTCTCCGGGTCCGGCCGGGTGACCCACTCTCCACTTCGCCGGACGAAGGGGCGGGGGAGGGGGGCCGCACCTTGCAAAGGTCTTCGCGGCGAAGCGATGAAACCTCGATGCGCCGAACGTGAGGTAGGTTCTGAGAGGAGGTCAACGAAATTAAGTGGGTGAGAGCTCCAACCGGGTTGAGAATGGGCGAAAAAAAGGAAAGTAAACAACTGAAATTGAATCGGTCATTCTCGAGAAGACTTAGGCGCCAAAAACTAGAGAATGGGTTTGTTGTCTGTTGCACCCAAGAGATACAGCAAAATAAATAGACTGAATTCATCAGAAATGAACCAACCCAAACTAACAAGGGGAACTTACGGACCTGCCGCCTCCGATTGGGCTGAATTTTTTTTTACAGACTCTATGGACCAATTCTAGAGGTCAATTTGAGCCGTTTTCCCGAATGCGCAATAGGAAGGGCGTAAAAAGTTCCCAAAAGTTGCGTTTTCGGCGTGTGATTTGGTCGTGCGGCGCGTGGCAACACTGAAGCAGCCTCTAGTACCGCTTTATCGGCCTGAAGGTTTCAGCGGAGTCCGGAGCTCTACTGCACACGTACTGGTTCCATGATAGTGAAGTCCCGGGTTCGATCCTCGACTTTTTATTTTCCGCATGATCACGTAACATTTTATTTTTAATTCTTCATTCGCATTTATAAATCAAGCAGTTCCGATCACTACCCCCCCCCCCCTCATTTTACGTACATTTTCCCCCGATATTTATTCACATTGGCCACATATAATCGTATGAAACTTCATTGATATAAATTAATGAATTAAAAAGCAAAGGGCTAAAATAATGTGTTTCTTGGTGACCCTTGCATGCACATGGGTTTGGGGTTGCTCTTCGATTTATTTACACATTACATATTTTTCCAGGAAAACATTTGAAGATAATGTAGTAACAAATAAGGTTTTCTTTTGCTTTTTAATTCATTAATTTATATCAATGAAGTTTCATACGATTATATGTGGCCAATGTGAATAAATATCGGGGGAAACTGTACGTAAAATGAGGGGGGGGGGGATAGTGATCGGAACTGCTTGATTTATAAATGCGGATGAAGAATTAAAAATAAAATGTTACGTGATCATGCGGAAAATAAAAAGTCGAGGATCGAACCCGGGACATCACTATCATGGAACCAGTACGTGTGCAGTAGAGCTCCGGACTCCGCTGAAACCTTCAGGCCGATAAAGCGGTACTAGAGGCTGCTTCAGTGTTGCCACGCGCCGCACGACCAAATCACACGCCGAAAACGCAACTTTTGGGAATTTTTTACGCCCTTCCTATTGCGCATTCGGGAAAACGGCTCAAATTGACCTCTAGAATTGGTCCACAGAGTCTGTAAAAAAAAATTCAGCCCAATCGGAGGCGGCAGGTCCGTAAGTTCCCCTTGTAAGTTGAAACTGAGAAAAAAAAGGTTCACTGGAAAAAAAAACACATCGGATCTAGAGTCCAGACTCTTAAAAACATCCACAAGAAAAAGTACTCTTGATTCAATCAGAATCTAGCTTAAATCAAGAACCAAGCCTCTTAATTTAAGCGGATTTCGTTTTGATTCAAGCAAAAATCCGATTGAATCAAGAGTATTTTTTCTTGTCAATGTTTTCAAGAGTCTGGACTCTAAATCCAATGTGTTCTTTTTCCAGTGATTGAAGTTTTATTCTTACATGAGACTCAATGTAGAGAATAAACTTAAACCCCTCTTTTCACAAACTAAATGCTGGTTTTCGACTCTCAGTTTTTGGCAGGAGAAAATATACGGCTAGTGGAACTCAAAAACATTCTTAACTCAATTTTTTTGAAAGTGTGGGTTGGTTCCTTTCTGATGAACTCTGTCCAAATATACCCTTAACCGATAAAATCGCCCGAAAATCACGTTAGGTACTTTAAGTTTGAAATCCATTCCTTAGCGCGCAATCCGCGTAGTTTGTAACACGCGTCTTCAAATTTCCCGCGTCTGTCGGCAGTTTCTTTAAGTCAAGTCACCGCCGATCAGGTTTGCACAGACAGAGGGTCAGAGGAGTCAGGGAAACCGATCTGGGTAAACAGACGATTTCTGTAACTCGTTATATCGTATGATTTCAATAGTTCTCAAGCGTTTGTTCGCTTTGGTGAGAAGGTAGCTTGCCCATGGCCGAGTGCTCTTAGAATTCGACTTGGCCCTCCTCAGAATATTTAAACGGAAACCTTCACGAATGAGACGGTACGGGAGATCATGGATGCCAAACAGACCATCGTGCATGACATTATGACAAAACAACTCATTTGGTATGGTCATGTCCAGAGAATGGCAGGAGACAGGTTGCCGAAGAAGGTCCTTGACTGGGTTCCTCCTGGGAGAAGACGCAGAGGGCGCCCAATGAAAGGTTGGAGGGAAGGGATTGAAGCGGAAATGTTAAGGTGCTCAATGCCCCAAGATTTGTGGTTTGAAAGAGAGCAGTGGAGGTTAGGGGTCGTAGAGCGCGAGGGAGTGCTGTAAAGCGACTTATATGTATGTACTTTCACGAATCACCTTAAGGGCCTTCCCGAGGAAAGCAGCTGTTTGAGGATCGACTATAATGAGGCCTGTACCATGGATGAATATGTAATATCTTCGTCCATGCCTGTACTCAAGTCGTGTTACCGAAAAACCGCGCTCCCGAAGCCCGAACGCTCTTTCGTAACACCCAAACCCGGCACCCGGATCGGGTCCCTGTTTCACTTTTACCCCGAAAGATCCACCTGCCCGAAAGCCCTCTGACGTCACGGATCGCGATAAGCGCGTCACGGAGGCTCCGACTCCACTTTCAAAAGCCGTGAGCCGCGGGCGGCGCCCCTGGCGGCCGCTCCGGGGACCACGGGGCGAGAGTAGGGCAAGCGGCGCGTTTCTCCCGCGGTGGACGCTAGCGCTCCCTCTTCAGTCTTTCGCCGAACGCGATCAAAAGAAGTTCGTCCCGCCGCGCGTCCGTCTGAACACCGTGACACGATTTCGAAGCGATAAGTGTGCCGATCCGATGGATAGTGGGTATTAGTGGCCTTTCAGTGCGGTTCGTTTTGTGGCGCTCAAAATGCGTTTGAATACGGGTGGTTTCGTGAACGCTATCAAGTTGTTCAAATTGGATGTTAGGATTGTGTTATATTCCTTTGGATTGCTGCTGAATGGAGTACTTTCTCGGGGTAAGTGGTGCCCTGGGCTCTGATACTAGATAATGCTACCGTTCACGGCAAAAGCGCCGTAACCCCACTCAAAATGTTGTATTTTTTCAGGGTTGCCAGTCAGGGAATACGGGGAAAACCGAGAAATGTCAGGGACTTTGTTTAAGTCAGGGAAAACCGGGAAATGTCAGGGAAAATGAAGAAAATGTCAGGAATTTGTTAAATTGCCTTCCGTTGCTTTCTAGAATGAGTATGAGGTTTCGAACAACCAATATTGCCTGTAAACTATTTTCACTTATGTCTTCTGAAACACCTGTCAATCTGCAATCGTCAAGGAATTTCACTAAAATGTATCACGGAAATGTCAGGGAATTTCATTTTCCAAATTCTGTGGCAACCCTTAATTTTTCCAGCACGTGCTGCTCTATTAAAAGGAAATTGGGATGTCGCAAGGCTTCATTTTTTCATGTTCAGCGCCTAATGGTGTCCCGGAGTTGTATCGGAAAGATGAAGGATGATTATTTGTTGGGTTTTTGCAAAACAGAATTTTGTCAGACAAATAAAGTGCGAAGAGTGTCGAATGGAGATACGGCTTTTTCACTTTGGACGGCGGAATGGGGATGGACTGGTTCAGGGGCTCCTAAATTCTGGGTCGCAAAGTTCGTCTTGCCAAAGCTGGGGGATCCCATCTGACATTTCTGGAGAAACCTCGCAGAGGCCTCCCAAACTTCCTTCCGTAACACATATTCTGGAGAGGGCAAGGGGACGATCGCCTCCTAAACTCTCTTGCCAAAACTTTGGGACCCAACGCGACACTTCGTACGAAACTTTGCGGTGCCCCTCGGGGCCCTTTGGAACTCCCCATCTTCTTCGGAAGGGGCCCCCAATGCCCGATTCTCTTTTCGGCGAAATTCGCTCCCTGGTGAAAAGGCCAGTTTACCCCTTTTACATAAAAGTTCTTTTGATACTTCTAATTTGAAGCGCCGAGGATTAGAACCTGCGATCTGCACTTCTGTAGAAAATAAGGTTATGATGGATTTCAAGGGTTCTCAGAAGAATATTATGGTGTGGATCAAAACTTCTCAATGAAGTAATTTTATCTGAAGGGGTGAAAACAGCCCTTATATAGGAGAGTACAGTTTCCCATGGGGTTCAAACAATCATCTCGGTTAAATATTGCAGTTTCATATATCCTCAGCGCCTCATTCTGTTCGTTCTTGATCGTTTGATTAGAAAGTTAAGATCATTCAAAGGCATGAACTCCAAATGGAGAGATCTAAAAGGAAATTCCTTTAATTTTTATAGTCAGGGCGGTAGTGTTGTGGATGAGGCGGTGATACAATGTATTCATCCCATGCGGTAGCCTACTGCCAGTAGAAGATGTCACGATTCTGCTTTCTTATCAGTAGTAGGGATTCCTTTCCGCTGTCTTCGGGAAATTCAGGAGTAAATTAGAAAATGCACTCTCACAAAAGAGGAGCTGAGAGGAAATTTCGATCCCTGAAGTTAAGTGTTGAGAAAAACACGTACCTAAATTTAAAAAAAAAAAAATCTTTAAAAAGGTTTGAATGTCCGAGGTATGCTAGGAAACCTGTTCGTTCTTTTACACTTACAAACAAATGCCACCAATGCTCTTTCACAAGCTTTTGATCACTTTTTTTTTTTTTTAAATTACAGACCTTAGTACATTTTACCTTAGATTTTAGTGAGGTACATATTAATGTTGAACATTTTGTGTTCAGCATATACTAATATAAGTGATTTTCCGAATTTATGAGAAGTTCGATGCCAATTTTTTCATTCCACTTTTTTGAATTTCACACTCTTAAAAAAGATGAGAAATCGTTTTCCAGCCTATAAATATATTTTTTTTTATGTTTTTAAAAATCCAAATTTAAGTAATAGTAAATTTTTCTACCTAAGGCAGGTAATTTTTTAAGAAATTAAAGAAACTGTGCAGTGCTTTACATGTTCGCAATCGGACGCACGCACTTGTTACCCATCGATTTTCTTATAGAATGAGGGATGTGTTCTCGTCGAAAACAGTTTTGCTGTGAAAGAACAAGGCACTTAAAACTGCGCCATGAAGACATTTTTAAAGACATTACGTTGATAATTTCTCCGATTAGGAAACGAAATCTCATTGAAAATCCGCAAAATCCTAAACCGAGGTACCAGTTTTTCTTGTTTCACCGTGGATATGCCTATTGTGGTATTCAACAAGACACTGTGCCTAAATCTTAGTTAGCGGTCAGTGGTTACCTATGCTCGTCCTTCAAATATTTTTGATTCGAATCGTGCGGACTACAATTCAATGTCAAGGGTGAAGAACGATTGGAATCGGTGAAATTTTTTGCTCCCTCGGAAAACTTTCGATCATCGAAGCCAACGTACTTTCTCATCATCGCTCACGGTCACTCTCTTGCTATGATTCTTTAAAAATATAATCATCAAACTGTTTTGCATAGGCTGATTCTTTTGCACGGAGACAGGAATTCGGGAATAGGTTGTTGATCAAAGCTTACAAAAAACTTCCAGTTTGTGTAATCTTTATTATTCCCGTTCGTGACATCCATAAGCCGCGTTGTCTCAACTCTCTCTATAAAGGGACTCTAGGGTTTACCATCGACTACCTCTTTTGAAATCAACTTAGAGGAAGGAGCTTCGAGATGCAAATCCTGCAATTCTGCAGTCAGGCAGTCCGATGCACCTTTCGTTCGTTGGGAGCCGAGTGGGGCAGTGGAATAGAGTTTGTTTTGGCGAGTGCGGGGCGCGGGAACAGGTCTTACTTTCTACAGATGTAATTTAAAGGTAGAAAGCTAAAACTTAGCCGCTCGGTCCGCCCGAGTGTCCGAGACTTGAGTCCGCGCATGGACAAGTCTGCCCCGCGCCGCCGCTACCGTCGACAGTCCGGCTATGTCCTTCCAAGTTTCTACAAAAAGTTAACAGGATTCCGCCGCGACAGGCAGATCCATCAGCTTCCACTATTCGGTCGGGCTAAGGGAGAACGCCATATAAGCTTCTAGACGTTGCCGTATCTTCTTTAAAGGAAAACGAATGTACTAGGAAAGTTGTGAATATTCTTCTTTAAAATTTTCAGACAATTTTGCTCGTAATTTAATCTAAAATATCTGAAAATTTAAAGGGGAAACATAGAAAACTTCCAGATCCATCAGCTTCCACTATTCGGTCGTGCTAAGGGAGAACGCCTTATGAACATTCGGGAGTTGCCAAATTTCCCTTGATAAAACATGTATTTTTGACAACATTCATGCATATATTTCCTTAAAATTTTCAGATATTTTAGATTAAACTGCGTACAAAATTGTCTGCAAATTTTTGAATATAATATTCACAATTTTCTCAGTAAATTCGGTTTTTATCGGATGGAACTTGGAAACGTCTAATGGCTCATGCGGCGTTCTTAGCACGGCATAAGCCTCCAGACGTTGCCGTATCTTCTTTAATGAAAAACGAATTTACCAGGAAAATTGTGAATCTATTTTTTTAAAATTTTCAGACGATTTTGCTAGTAATTTAATCTAAATTATCTGAAAATTTCAAAGAAAAGGATAGAGAACTTCCTTCAAGAATACATGCCATGTTTTATCCTGTGAAATTTAGGCAACTCTCGAATGATCCTGCGGCATTTTTCTGTGACACGGCTATACTGCACCTTATATATTCCAGGCCGCCTCAAAAAATGTTACTTAAGGCAATCTCGAAAAATGTGAAGGCAAAGAACTTTCTGCACCCCTTATTGACTAAGCACATGGGTTGAAAATTTGCAGCCTAGTCAAAAATCAGGCGCGAGTTAATAAATGAATAATAATATTAGACTGTCACTGTCACTGTTTGAAGTGAAAAAATCACTTAAATGATGAAACAAATCATGAAAATTATACATACTGTATCACGAGTGTTTTCATACGTTGTGATAAAATCATTGAAAGTCAGTGACATCCCCGCATTCTTCACCAAAAAACATTCGGGAGATCGAGAAACATCAAGGGAAGGACGTCGAATGATTCGGTGTTTTTATGTACGCAACGCTACGGGGAGTATTTGAAAGGCTTCCGAAAGAGCGCAGGTCATCAGCCACGCAGCCAAATCTCCAGTTCTCTCGAAAAATCCATCACTGAATGAAGTAACTTGAGCCACAAGTAAAAGTAACCACGATACACAAGTGCCCCCTCGATAGTTTACGAGAATATGGTGAACACACTGAATATTTCAACATTTTAAATTTGTAGACGAGTATATATAAAGTCTGTAATTTAACCTCAGCGTCACGATCACACTGGAAAAAAAACCACATTGGATCTAGAGTCCAGAGTCCAGACTCTTGAAAACATTGACAAGAAAAAATACTCTTGATTCAATCGGATTTTTGCTTGAATCAAAACGAAATCCGCTTAAATTAAGAGGCTTGGTTCTTGATTTAAGCTAGATTCTGATTGAATCAAGAGTACTTTTCTTGTCGATATCTTTAAGAGTCTCGACTCTAGATCCAATGTGTTTTTTTTCCAGTGAAGGTTATATTTAGACGCCTAAATTAGTCACCATGGTTTTAGAACTACACATTTTTAATTTCATGGCAACAGTATACAATTGGGCCGCTCTTGAGGTATACGTAACTCCCCAGGGGGAGGAGGGACGAGGAAAGGGTTGTGCAGTTTTGTTTTACGTCTTAAAGGATAGCGACCTATGTCACAAGAGGAGAGAAGGAGAGGACAAAAATTCCGTAAAAATGCGTCACGTAATTTACTCATGAACGCTCCCTCCGACAATAATTTACTCTCAATCGCAACAGATAAATCGAAACGGGGGGGAACGATGGCCAAAAAAATTGTCAAAAAACTATTTTTGGCCATGATCAGAATCAAAATACAGGATACATGATGAATTGATGAGCAAATAGTGATTCTGAAGCTCTTAACGAAGCTGCATGGGATTCGAGCCATCACGGTAAAATCGCCGGTGTTTTTCTTAACCTTGCGTTTAAGTCTCCGGGTAATCAC